AGGTTCTCGGTCAGAAAGCGTAATGGTTGTACAATAAAAATATTTTAAATTTTTCAAGAAAAAAAAAACTGCCAATTAAATAAAATATCAAAAGTTAGTAATAATACAATAAAATCACATATTTAGTCAAAACAACCTCTATTATTAGTTCCATTTATGAACATTTAATTCCCAAAATGTTTTTGTTTAGAGAAGTTTTAATTTTTTACAGAAACAAAAAAAATTCTAAAATGCAAACATTTAACTGCTAAGAAAAATAAAAATTTAATATATTAAAGATTAATGTAACCAACAACAAACAAAAAAGAAAAAAAACAGTATTATAGGTAAATATAAGTGAAGTTTGCTCAATATGGTTTTATACAACAAAGTAAAGAGTACATATAGCATTTTTCAAATTATTTTGGAACTTGAATATTGCTTGAAGTTAACAATGGTAATTCTAGAAATACTTACTTGCTGACCCCAACCTTTCCAAACGTTTTTGTGCGCGAAATTTCTGGGCGGATACAAGCACGCTCCTTCCTTTGAGCAGGTTGACGAATCCAGTCATCCCAAAATCTATTCCATAAATAGAAAATTTTTCAAAAGTAGATGTTTATTATACATATATAAAAAAACTCCAATATACTATTTCTAATGTAATTCTAGTTCATTAGTACTAAAAATAAAAATAATTAGCTCTGTCATTATATCCATTTCAGCCATAAAATTTGTTTATCTGGTAAAACAAAACAATAATATTGACAAAACATAATTAAAAGAAATGAGTTTTTCACTTGATGATCTTATATAAATGAATTTTCAAATCTAAAAATAATAAAATCAATATTAAAAAAAACTTCAGCTTACTAACATTTGATGATTTATAATGTTTAGTTTCAGGATATTTTTCCCTTCTTCACCTACCATATCCAATTCATTCTCCTCCATCTATATCAGTGGTTCCCAACCTTTTCTCCACCAAGGACCCCTTTTATTATAATTTTTTTCCCACAGATCCCATGTTTTTGAAAGATTCTGCCTACCCAACAAACTGTTTTTATTAATTAATAATTTTCTCGTTCTCCCACTTTTCACTATCAAATAAAAGACATATATAACTGAGTGTGCAATTAAAAAAGAACATCAGTATTAAAAAACTTGTTTAATGAGATGGTATTACCTACACAGACCCCAGGTTGGGAACCACTGATCTATATACTCCATAAACTTTGTTATAAAACCTATACTTATTCAACTCTATGACAGTGATATTCAATTAATTTCTTGTGAAGAAATATCCATATTTTTAATCATTATTCAATGATTTAAAATCCACTCATCTTCTATCAAAAGAAATATAAAATTTTATTTGTTTATCAGAAATGTTACAACACCTGCAAACATCACAAGTTTAAAAGAAATGTATTTTGCATCGTAAAAAATTTATCATGAATTAGTGAAATGTGAAATTCAAGAACTCAAATGATTTGTATTAAAATTATTTTATACTTTTAGCTATGATCCCATTTAAAGAAAACATAAATTTTAATTATACTGTTAACACTTTTCCCTGGATTTCACATATGTTCCCTTCAACAAAATAACTTAACATTCTTTACTTCAACTTCCTTGAGACAATGTCGTATTGGTTCTGTTTAGAAGCATATCCTCATGTTTTAAATTTAATGGTCTTGGCTTATTTGATATTTCAGTTTGAGCCATGGGATTTTTTTTTTTTAGTTCAGAACCTATCCTTCATAAGATAGTTGCAAAATTATAAAAAAACTTGGGTGTTATTGTCAGATGTCACTGTTTGGTATTTACAGTGCCTAGCCAAAGTATTCACCCCCCTAAAAAGTTCCCACTTTTTGTTGCATCTGAGCTTGCTATTGTGAAACTTTCAAATGAGACTTTACATTTAGAATCTACACAATCTATTACAAACTGAGCAAATTAAAAAATGCTGATATTACGTAAGTAAGTTAGATTTTCAAAGAAAATTAGAATATTCTCAATTCCATAAGTATTCAACCCCTTTGTTATGGTAACCCTAAATCAGTTCAGGTGCAAAGGAATAGTTCAAAAGGTCACAAAATTGGTGTAATGGTCTCTGTGTGTGTGTAATCAAAGTGGTTTAACTTGACTTCAGAATAAATGCATCTGTTCAAACCACAACTCACATAGTGATATGACAAACCAACCATGAAGACCAAGGAGCTTTCCAAACCAGTCAGGGATAAAGTGGTAGGGAAACACAGATCAGGAGAAGGTTGCAATAAAATTTCAAAGTTGCTGATTATCCCTTATCATGAAGTACATTATTAAGAAGTGGAATGTGCTTCATACCACCCACTCACTACCCAGATCAGGCCACCCTTCCAAACTAAGTAACCGGGCAAGCAGGAAACTGGTAAGGGATGCCACTGTGAAGCCAACAGTGACTTTGAAAGATTTGCAAAGTTCCATGTCTGAGATGTGAGTCAGTATTCATACATCGACAATATCCCGGTCCCTACACAAAGCTGGCCTGTATGGGCGAGTGGTAAGAAAGAAGCCATTACTGAAAAAGAATAACCTTAAATCTTGTATGGAATTTGCTACAAAGCATGTAAATGGTACTGCAGACATGTGGCAGAAGATTTTGTGGTCAGATGAGACAAAAATTGAGCTTTCTGGTCTAAATTCAAAGCGTTACAACTGGTGCAAGCCCAACACAGCACAGTACAGTACCCAGTTAACACCATCCCAACTATCAAGCATGGTGGTGGCAGCATCATGTTATGGGGATGCTTCTCATCAGCATGGACTGGGAAACTTGCCAGGATTGAGGGGAAAATAGATGGTGCAATCTACAGGTGAATCTTAGAGGAAAACCTGCTTTATCAGCCAAGAATCTAATACTGGGTTGAAAATTCACATTTCAGCAGGACAATGACCTGAAGCCCAAGGCCAAAGCCACACTGGAGTGGTTTCAAATGAAGAAAGTGAATGTCCTGGAGTGGCCCAGTCAAAGTTCTGACTCAAATCCAATAGAAAATTTAAGGCAAGACTTGAAGATTGCAGTCCATCATTGATTTCCAAAGAACTCGTCAAAATTGGAGCAATGTCGCCAGGTAGAATGGGCAAAATCTAAAACATCTCAGTGTCCAAAGCTGGTACAGACCTATCCAAAAAGGCTCATAGCAGTAACTGCTCATAAAAGGTGCTTCCACCAATTACTGACTTGAGGGCTGAATATTATGAAATCAGCAAATTTCAGTTTATATATTTTCTTTCCAATATTAATTTGATCATAAGAGTTTTGCTTAAAAACAAGTTCATTAAAAAAAGACTGTTGACATTATTTGTATTTCATCAATATTTGACATCACTGTTAGGGGGTGAATACTTTTGCAAGGCACTGTACATCTTGTTGAACTGCAATCATTATCTCTATATATATCTTGTATATAAATAAAATATTTTTCTCTTTATAAGCCTAATATCAAAGCTACATATCAGTAAGTAGCTTTTTAAAAATAAACTTGTAAGTTTTGAATTTACATGATCCTACTTTTAAAGAGCAATGTAATTATACAATTCAAATAACATTGAGTTTGAGCTTATGTTTCCTCATTGACCAAATATGGATACAATATATGCATCATAAGTCTCATATACAAGTTTGAGCTTATGTTTCCTCCTTGACAAAATATGAATACAATATATGCATCATAAGTCTCATATACAAGTTTGAGCTTATGTTTCCTCATTGACCAAATATGGATACAATATATGCATCATAAGTTTCATGTACAAGTTGAGCCTATGTTTACTCATTGACCAAATATGGATACAATATATGCATCATAAGTCTCATATACAAGTTTGTGCTTATGTTTCCTCATTGACCAAATAAGGATACAATATATGCATCATAAGTCTCACATACAAGTTTGAGCTTATGTTTCCTCATTAACCAAATATGGATACAATATATGCATCATAAGTCTCATATACAAGATTCTATTTAACCTCTACAATACTCACTCGCTAAAATGTAATTGTCCTTTTTTTTAGACAGAGGGAGGAAGCCACTCCTAAGCCCTAACATAATATAAATGCCTTTTGTACACATACGTTTGGCAGATGATCATTATCATGCAAGAAAACAAGTAAAGAGTTGTAATATTGTCAATATTGGGATAAGTTTAACATAATTCAGATTCAGAACATATAATAAATTCAGTCACAATGACATAATTGTACACTACAACACAGAGATGACAATTATGTATATACTTTTATATAAAAGTACAGATATCTCTAACTACACACAACATTGATTGCACAGCTAAGGTTGGTTTGAAATATATTGCATATACTTGTTAGTTATAAATTTTACTTGATAAACTGGCTAGTAACGGAGCACATTAATTTTTATTCACTGATTACAATAATTATGACTTGATAGAGGTAAACATGATAGAAAAAGTTTCTAAAGGATAGTAATATAATTTCATTAAAATATATTAAGTTGTCATCTTGCTTTCATAATTTCAAGCTCACAGACTTTACAGCGGTGTAGATTTTCATTGAATTTCTTTCAATGTGTTATTAACAGCTTTTACACTAAGTGAATACAATTGTACTAAAAATTATGATCAGTAAACTAGTTTTTATGTTAAGATCATAATAAATTTTGATTACAGTACAGAAAAAGCTTGAGAAGTGAATTTTCACTGACACCAGTGATTTCCTAAAGAACCGTTTCAAATTTCTTTTGTAAATTTACAATCTGGTATTTATATGTAAATATAAGGTTATTTTCAATGATGCATTTGTTCAAGTTGTAAAATCATTGTCTGTATCATGAAATTGAGTGCAGCTTCTTGTTCTGTATGCTAACAACTGTTTTTGTAGTGAAACATTAGTCGATCATCTGACATGACCTTGCCATGTAAAGGAAAGACAATACTGGATTATTCTGGCCCAATCCAAAAGCTCTGTGCAAAGAAAATTGTGTCATTAAATCTATTGCACTTGATCTTCTGTGGATTTATACCTTAAGGATTGAGACCCATGGTTGATATATTTCTCTAAAATATTAAAATAAAAAAATCTGGCTCCAGGGATGGATGATTTAAATAATTTTGCACGGCCTGAATTTCAGCATTACATTATGTGGGGAAGAGAAGTTGGTGATTTTCAAATGATTAGTGCTTTGAGTTTTAATTATAAGCTATAGTACTCATAACTATTCATTATTTCTTAATTAACAGTAATTTTTTATATAAAAATTATACATTTAAAACTTTCAGAGAAGTTAAAAATTTCATGTATTGTAAGCTAACACATTTGGATACCAAAAACGAGATACAATTTGAACAAAACAAAAACAGCATCTTGATTTTTTAAATAAATATTTGCAATTAAACCCATGTATTTACATTTGTTGCTTATCTCTCATTATCAAAATGGCAAAGATTTTTGTATTTTTGTAAGATACACTGAAACTAATATTTTCTTTATTTTGCTTTTTTAAACATAAAAAAATTCATTAAACTATTATTGTGAACCAAAAATATTTAGATGTT